AAAAGTTAAAAATATATTTTGCAAAACATTTTATTGAATTGAAAAAAACAAACAAAATTTGCAACATTTAACTATTTAGTTCTGGCAGTCAGCTACGCAACAGGAAGTTTAGTGGATTTTTCCAACTATTTGATGGCATTTTTTTTTATGACAACAAAACTTTAAAATGGCCAATTAGTTAATGTAAATAATTGACAACGATTAAAAAAAATTAATTAAAATTGATAGAAAAAAAAAACTTTTCCTACCCAGCAGTCAGCTACGCAACGCGATTATTTAAGAAACTAACTTGCTTATATTGCGCAAAATATTTAAAAATTAAATGTCGATGCTTTACAATATTAAACCAGCTTTGCGGTCGACCCATTTAAAATTAATTGTTAAAATTTTGGATTGCTACAAGATATTAAAAAAATAATGATAGTTAAGCACTTTTTCTGAAATCAAATTATTTAAATCCTCAAATTAAACGCTTTTCCTCAAACGCTTTTCCTGTTACTTTATAATCTATAAAAAGCTTGTTCTATTTACTTTTTTATTCTTTCATTATTATTTTAAGACATTTAAGAATAAATACTAACTGTTAAAAAAAAAATTCTAATTATGAATTCTACTTATGAATAAAATAAACCTCTTTTTTAAAAAGAGGTTTATTTTATTAACCACGTGGAACTCTACATATGTATAGACATTAGTTAGCTCCCCCACCACCACCACCACAACTACCACCACCATACATAATAAGGTGGCAACAAAAAAAAGAAGTGGTTTTCCAATGTAAGAAGATATTTTTTATTTTTTTAAATAATGATTGGTGTTTGTTTTTTTTAATAAGGGGTAAATGGGGTGAGGGGACACAGCAAAATATAAAATAAAAACTACACGTAACTATAAACTTGTGCAACACACCCTAGAGTTTTCTCCAATTTTCATGGACAAATCATTGTCTCCTTTCCTTGCTCTAAGTGTCTACAGCTGAATGCTTTTCACTAAGAAACCGCAATCAACATACTTTGAAGAATTGAAAGTTGTTAACGGTAGTCCCACTAATTTGATGAATAACAACGATAAAACTGTTTTGATCATTAATGAAGGGCTTGTTTGGGATCGTCCATAAAGAACTCTTGGATAAGAAGAGGGTGTATATAAAAATAAATGGTGTATATATGATGGGAGGGCAGTGGGTATATTATAAAAGAAAGGAGACACTAAACTAAAAAAAATATCATAAAATGTTGAGTAGGTAGGTTAAGAGCGTAGGTACTTTTAGAGAGGTGGAGGGTACTCAAAAAAGGTATTGAAAAATGTGTGTGTGTGGATTGTATTATACGTGTGCGTTTTACTGTTATTGTATCATGCGTGTGAGTATTGGTGTCATGCTCTATAAATGTCATCTTTTCTTATCCAGTAACTTCCAATTCTAATAGTAGTTGCTTGCTGCCTTGCTGAAAGTGAAGATGTTAAAAAAAAAAAAAAAAACATTGAAATGACTTGGCAATCTAATTATTAGAAAACATTTTTCTAAATAGTTCTCCACAATCAAATGAAGTATTTATAGAATGCCTAGAGTAAACAGTATTTAAAATCTAGCATATACCAGCTTTTTATTTATGCTAGTTCACCTCTATAAGGCCGAGAAAGCCACTACAGGTGGCTTTAATTGTGGTTACAACTCTCCCTCAAATCTTTAATCCAAAACACAAAGACTTTCTTAGTGTGTGCTTTTTGCTTTAATGCAGTCTCTTATTCTTAATACTTTTTTAAAATCTTTTTTACTAAAAAGTGAAATTATTTTAAAGGAGTCTAAGTGTATTTAATTTTAAAAACTGACTGCAAGTTAATCTAGCAATACCAGAGTGTTAGCCGAAAAAAAATTCATAGAGTGTTTTTATAAAAAAATTCATACAGTGTTTTTATAAAATTGGGATTTTAGGTGTGGCTTAAAAAAAAAAAAAAAAAAAAAAACTCATTGCATTCTGACATGTAAAAAACTAGATAAACTTGACATCTTTTAAATACAAATACATTTCAATCAAAATAAACTTTTCATTTTTAGTTATACTCATAGCTAAACTCGTTTATACTCATACTCATAGCAGGAATATTTTTCTATTTTATGTTTTATTACAATTATTTAACTCAATCTAAGCAATCCTATTAAATTTTTATTTTTAAATCGCTTCTCTTCTATGTTTGATGTAGTAGAGAGAAAACAAGAAAAAACAACAATTGTTTGCAATTAAAGTTTTAATGAATGAATTATCAAACTTATTCATTGAAACTTTGATCTACATTGCTACATTGCTTTGATCTACATTAAATTTATACATTGATCTTTGATCTACATTGCTTTTAAGTACAGTTTTAAAAGGCTTAAGCAATTTTTTACATATATATATATATATATATATATATATATATATATATATATATATATATATATATATATATATATATATATATATATATATATATATATATATATATATATATATATATA